ACTGACTCAAACACGTCGCGCGCAACGCTGCGGGAAAAGGCCGAACGCCAATACTCCCAAAGCTCTCCGCTCACATAAATACCATCATTGTAGAGAGTCAAAGGCGCAACATCTTGCGCAGGCTCTCGATTCGGAACCTGCGCAAGGTTAAAATTTTCCACAAAATCATTCAGAACAAAAGAAACTTTATTTACAAGAGTCCAACTGGACTACAATATACAAGTCAAAACAACTAAGTCCTACAAAGAGCCTAGACCTCCGGCGCATCGGCCACAGCAGAAGTCCCTGGAACGGAGCCCGCATCAACTGTGGGCGGGGACGACGCCTGCGGCCTCTGACCATCACCGCCGCCGATTGTAGCGCCCACCGGAGTGCCAGCGGCGGCGGAGGAGTCGCCTGCGGTCGTCGAACGTGGAACTGGCGGAGGCCTGCCCGCAAGACTCTTCTGCGCATCCTGTAGCACAGGTTAAAATATCAGTGGCACAGGCAATGAAAGCCTTCGCAGCTTCACAAAAAGCAAGGAGAGAAAAATAGCGGCTACAAAGACTAGAAATACCTTCGCCCTCTTTTCCTCCGCCAGTTTCCGGGCAGTAGGTCTCCCAAACGGAGCCCAAAAGTACCCAATGAAATTTGTCAAGGTTTTTCGCAAACCAAGAGAAGTCTCACCAAGCTCCTCCGGACCTGGCAGTGCTCCCTCCGTAATACTTTCGGTATGCGTGCACCCGCCGCGCACCAAAAGCTTGGCATAATTCCCTACTCCCGCCAGCGCCCCGTAGTCCGTGCAGCCATTGATCAGACCGGGGAGCTTCGCAAGGTGACGCTTTAGCTAGGAGGCGAGGGCGTAGACGCTGTCTTCCTCCAGAGGAGCGGAGGTTTCGCCTCCGAACTCGACGACGATGGCCCGATAATGGCCAACGGTTGCAGCAAGGACCCCCTTGACCGAGTCCAAACGCCTCATCGACAAAGACAGCTGCTCCACCACCACAGCCGTGGATTCCTTCTCAGAGGCCAGCTCTCGCCGAAGATCCTCGGCCAACTCGTTCGCCCTGCGGGCCTGCTCGGCGGACAAAACTTCTGCATCCCGAGCCTTGGCGAGATCGGCCCTCAAAGCATCCTTTTCTTGTTCCTTCTCCGCCAGAGAAAGGCGGAGAGCTACAAGGGAGTTGGACAAACCCCCTTTTTCACCTTCCAGGCGCTCGTTCTCCGCCTTGAGCGCTTCAATCGCAGTATCTCGGTCAGAGACCTCGTGAGTGCAGTGCTCTTCCATAACAACGGCCGTGTGATACCCCTGCGATCAGAAAGAAGAAGACCAAGGCGATCAGCAATAGAAACAAAAACAAGTCTAAAGGCGAACATAGACCAAAAAAGGCAAACCACCGAAGACGCACCAAGCTCTGGTGTTCTAGATGAACACGGAGAAGTTGGAAGAAATCCATGTCCCTCAGACGTTGTTTGAAGCGATCTGTTCAAAGAAGAACAAACAAACACAAAACAATAAGGTGAGAAAAGCAAATCTCACAATAAATACACCAACTGCCAGAGACCACCTCCGACATCTCCAAGAACCCCAAGATAGCACTCTTCCCAACCTGAGATAGAAGTGTCGGAGGAGCCTGCGTAGCAAAAAAAACACAACAACAACAACTCAGGTCAGAGGACTGATCAGAAATAGGCAATAACAATAGGCCAAAAGACGAGTAAGATAAAAACACTCTATACTCACTCGGACAAGGCATCATCAATTGGTTGCCCCGGACCAAACGACGTTGGCAATGGCCGCCGCTTCCTCCCGGGGTGAGGAGTCTAACCATGACATCACCTACAAAGCAACAAGTACATGGTATTAGCACTTGGTACAATACATAAACAAATAAACCGGCGAAGACCGTAAAACACAAAATATGCGCCAAACAAACTTACTCATAAAAAGCCTAATTTGGGCCACTACCGAGAGCCCCCGGGCGGATGTCTCGCCATATCATGTGTGAAGGCCCAAAGGCCAGCTCTCCTCAACCAAGACCTGGCGGGCGGAGGGCTCAAGAAGCCCGAGCCGCCGGGGCTGCCACGAAAGCACAGACCTCCGGCTGCCCGATGTCTGCCGCTGGCGCGGAGGAAGGCGCAACAACGGCGGGAAACGAAGGAGCATGCTGCAAGGCGACCTCAGCGCCATCTTCAGAACTTGAATACAGCCCACCAAAAATGTCAGGCATAGGACGGCGGCACTAGCTTCCGGCTGTTCGACCCGCACGTCCACTGACGGGACGGAGGAGCTCTGAACGTCTTCACTGTCGGCGGAGGCAACGCCAGCACTACCGACCGAAGACACGGCCGCCATGATCACCAGAGCACCGGTTTTCTTCTTCTTCTTCACAGGTGCCTGAGCAACAGCGGCACCCTTCCTCTTCTTGGACTCGGCCTCCGTCGTAACATTCTTCGCGAAGGCCTTCTTCTTCTTCTTGTCAATCGAAGCTAGGACCTCGGCGGGAACCACGCACTCTCGGTAGACGATCCCGAGCTCCTCAGAAACTCGATTGAGCCACGGCATGGTGCCTGCCACAGCCCTCCGAGATGTGTACTCACGCTCGGAAATTTTGCCAACCAACCCAACGGTGGCCTCCTCAACATCGGCAACGAAGCTGTCCTCCGTCACCCCCTCCCCTAAAGACCGGCCGAAGAGGGGGAAAGGAATCCCGACCTTCGGACCAAAAACAGGAACCTTCACCTTTTCTAGCCGAAAGGCTGGGTTGTCTATGCCCAGGGGCCAGTAGTTGGAGGCCATAATCTCCTCCACCAGGTCGCGACCCCCGGAGTAGCGGCACGCAGCTGCAAAAGCCCGGTCGCAAGCCTTCCTCCGGTGGATCCACACGCGTATGCGGTGCCATCTCCTCCATTCTTGAAGTCAATGGATACTCCATGACCTCTGCACCATCCTCGGTACTGCCACGAACCCCGTAGGTCTTCACGTAGAACCACTGCTCAAGCCAGCCGCGGTCCCATTTGCCTTTCTGGCAAAAACAAATCTCTAGGCGGTCTACGCCTTGGTTCCTCTTTGGCATGAAGGTGCAACTACCATACTGGTAGATCACCTCAACCTCCTTGCCCTCCCACATCTCCTTCTTCTTCGGCTGCTTCTGCAGCTCGTAGTAAGCGCAGAAGGTGTCCACATCTGGCTCGGCGCCATAAGAAACACACGCCCAGCAGAATTTGCTGAGCGTGAGGAAGGCAGTAGGAGTCAGATGATGGAGCTAGACATTGAAGGTCTCCAACACCCGACGGAGGAAGGGGATGTAAGGAAGGCGGAGGCCGCAGGTGAAGAAGTCCCGAAACACCACCGCATATCCCTCCTCCGGTTCCGGAACAGTCTGGCCAGGCGGAGGGATTTTTACCCTCGAAGAAGGAAAATACGATTCCTTCAACATCTCTACGACCGCATCTTCAGTAATGGAGGAGGCGCCGAAATCCCATGACTTTATCGCCATGTCACTGGAATCCGCAGCGATCAGGTCTCCGACGGACGCGGAGACACTCCCCAAATCCTCCTCCACTAGCTTTTCAAATTCCAATGCGGAGGCGAAGGCAAGCATGCACTCCTCAAAGCGCGCACTCCAGCCGGCGGCCCAAACGCCGAGAAGGTGGCGATAGGGTCTGAAGAAGGCGGGCCGGCGAGTATGGGCGGAGGCGGAAAAGAAAGCCACCGCGGCGGCAGCCTAGGCGGAAGACGCAAGCGGAAAGACGAAACGCGCAAACGCAGCTCAGGCGAAAGCAAAGAGAGCAGAGAGCGATTTCTCAGAGGCAAGGAAAGGGAATGAGCAGTGCGGGGGGGACCCCGCCACCAACCCAGCCCTTATATAGGCCGCGAGCGGACGGTTTGGCTCCCGCCGTACAATGGTCATCTCCGGAGAATTCGCCTGCCGCCCAACGATCATCCCCGGAGAAGTTGCAAGGTATACAACGGAAAGAAATATGGTGTAAACGGCCACAGCGTAGGACAACGGCTAGTTTTGCAGCCTAACGGCTACTATGACAAGACCAGCGGCCACGCCAGAGTGGGCTAGGGGGAACCTGCGAGGATCGGTCGGAGACGTGACCACACGCAATCTCCGCCCCCGCGGACGTCCTTGCTTAGGGCGTTTTGAGCTCACGACACGCTCGGGCGGACCGCGGTCTCAAAAGGGGGGAACTGTTGTAACACAGCCTCCGAGAGTGGCGGAGACCTACGTGGCCAGCAGTTCGCAAAGACGTCTCCGACCAACTACCTAAGCAAAGGCCCAGATACCACGCCTCCAGACCCAGAAAGATGACGGTTTCTCAGACTGCTTGCAGGACGCTCGTGGATCAAGTGCTATCCCTGGGGCGTGGTAACCAAGGCTAATCAAGTGCCAACGTTACCTACGTATGTGTGCAGGTAACCAGAGGAAGACGCTCGTGGACGGCGCGGGCGCGCTGGTTCGGCCTCCGCTCGTAGGGGCAGAGACCCAAGCAGGAGAACGACAATACTGGGCGTCGGGGGTCTGCGGCCTCGGCGTCCCTGGGGCGGAGACCGACGGCGGAGGTCCAAAGGCCCGTCGCCGAATCCTGAGGCCTGATGAGGCGGAGACCGACGGCGGAGGTCCAAAGGCCCGTCGCCGAATCCTGAGGCTTGATGGGCCGGCTGATCGCGCAGGCCCAGTACCTGAGGGCGGCATGACAAGATTACCCCCGAGAGGAAAGACGAGTAGTGGAATATTCCGAGAATGTACTGTAGCAGTTGAAGGATACTATTGTAAACTCTGTAAAGTGGTAGTTGAGCCCTATAAATAGGAAACACTTGTAACAGTACGGGAGGTTGGTGAATGAATTAATGAAACCCTAGTTTTACGTGCCATTTCCCTACACGCCCACTTGTCGTGTCTGTTTCCCGAGCCTCAGCCTGAGGGCAGCGCTTGGCGGGCGGAGGCCTCCACCTCCTCCACATTGTTTGAGACCGTAAGCCTCAACATGTACCACTGTAAATCTCTGACCATTCACTGACTTATCCACTATTGTGTAAGCACCTGATTCATATAGCTCATTGTAGAATCTTTCATGCATTTCTCTTGTGTAAATAGCTTCTGCATGTCTTTCAATTGGTACACCCACTCTCCTTCTTCTAGACATCTGCATTGAACAAGTACGCGTGCCTTGTTAATGTCTTCTGAATTCATCCTAGATATGTAATCGCAGCACAAGCAAGACAACGCAACAGTTTGTATTACTCCAACGTGTCACATAAATCTTATTGGTATATAACAAGCCCTGTAAAGTCTATCATTGGAATAGTATTCACCGCCTAGTAATTGTAATATATAGCCTGTATTATTTTTCACAATAATAGTTCATAGTTTGCAGTACTACTAATTTCATGTGCAATTACACAATCAAATCATATCAGCGGAGGTGATTCTTGGATCTTACCCATGCCAACCTGGCATTACCTGTTTAGTTAAGTGGATCTCCCTTTCTTCCTCTTGGTTACGGTCGAACTGGAAATCCCTGAACTTTGATATGAATATATGCATTGGTGCTGATCGTTGAATGAACCTCTTCAGCATGTGGTTCGCACTCTCACTCCGTTGAGTGCTAGTCATACCTGCACAGAAGATGTCCATGAAGTACGGTTTTGCCCACAAACCTCTCATCTTGTATACGCGATTCATGAAATTGTTTCCCTCGAGCTTGTATTCCTTTACTAGTTCCTGCCATTTCTTCTCAAAAGCACTTGGCAATATCTCATCGGTTATAAGCCTGTTGAACTTTTTCTTGAATGCACTCTTCTTTGAGTATGGTGTTCCTATTTTCTGATTAGCCTTTCTAAGCACATGCCATCTGCACCACCGGTGCCGTGTTCCCTTCAGCGTTGTCTTTATTGCAGCCGCCATCCCCTGGCATTGATCTGGGTTACAAGCACGATTAGTTAGTGAACAAAATCTGTTAGTTTGTCATAATTGTAATGCAGTTATTACTAAATTTGGTACACGTATGTAAGCAGATTTTATTGCATTGGCATGTCACATGAGAATAACTACGACTACCATAGAATCTTATGATAAAAAAAACGAACACTCATATACGTGCATCCACAAACTGACCTGTCAGTATAGTTTGAGGCTGTTTTCCGCCCATAATTTCAGTGAAGTTTCTGAAGGTCCACTCGAAGTCTTCTGTTCTTTCATGATTTAGCAGCACGCCGCCGAATATTATCGTTTGGTAGTGGTTGTTAACTCCAACAAATATTCCAAACGGCAGGTTGTACAAGTTTGTTCTGTATGTAGTGTCAAAAGTAACCACATCCCCAAAGTGCTTGTAATCCCTTTGATTTTTCCCAGTGCACCCTATCATTGACTCAATCCTCCCTTCATCATCCATCTTGAATCTGACTTCCAAATCAGGGTCCTCTTCCTTCATCTTTCCCAGGAGCTCCATAGTTTTCTTCGTATAGTCCTGTATATCTTCTTGCGCCATTCTTGCACAGAGGTTCTTTACCGATTGCTTTCTGATTGGCACTACACTTTCTGCAGACAGCACACCAATTATGCTGCATACACGTCCTCATGTTTATCAGCTATGATACAGTGTTTTTCTCTCACAACAAAACAGCATCAGCCGGCTTATAAGCCACAGAAACGATCAAGCGAACAGGGCATTGGGTCTATATATCCATGAGATCCCCACTGTTTCTCCTCAATCTCTTTATGAATTCCTCAGTCATTGGGTCTATATATCCATGAGATCCCCACTGTTTCTTCTCCCCACATGTCACTGAAAGTGCATGGTTGTGTTCTGAAATAATTCTACTCACTATCCATGAATGGTTCTCAGTTCGATGGAGTCGCAGCATTGCTTTGCAGCCTGATCTTGCCGAAGGTGCTCTTGCGTTCTTGCAGAATCCCTGTAGACAACAACATAATTACTAACACATTGAACATTGCACTAGTTCAAATTAAAATCTCATTCGTATATGATTTCATTCCTCACACGAGCACACTATATCCTTTCTCGTCGTGTAATTATTGCTGTTTGTCTTTGCTCGTGATTCCCTGATTCCGAATCCGACCTCCCAAGAATATAGGTTGTAGAACTCCTTTGCCTCTTCATATGAGCTAAATGTTGTTCCTTCGTATGGGTAGAATATAGGCTCACCCTCCCTGTCCTTAGCCGTTGATATTGCTTGTGTAATCGCGCTGTTAGCTGTTGGCGCCAAGCACGCGTCCGGACCTTCTTTCCCCCTTTTCCTGCAAAACATTTTTCGACACAAATCGATCGCGAATCCTTCAACTCTGGCGATCATGGGCAATGGCGGATTCAAAACACAGCAGTCTTACCTTTTCTTGAACGAAGGGGATGTCATAACACTAGATCCTAGTAGCGTTGGATTTTGTAGATCGTTGTCATACGATCCGCATCCAGTCGAATTAGATGCAGTCTCCAGGGCTCCAGTGATTGCCTGCCTCCCCTCATGAACTGAACTCGCCACATTGCCTCCCTCGACCCTTTCAATCTCCCGCAACCCTTCTCTCGGAACCAAGCTATCTGGTTCCATCGATGGATGATGTTGCACTGCTGTATTTCCTACCTCCATAGCAAATCCTATAATTTCATCGATGTCAACTCCTCTGTTGTTTTTGAATCTGAAATGCTCCTTACACTGCAAGCTAGCTTCTTTCAGCCTTCCTTCCAGCCGACGGCTCCGTTTGTAATAGGTTGTTATAAATGCACCTGCACCTAACTAGTTACGGTATCGTTTTCTTCATTATGGACATGCACATGATCCCCGAGGCACCCACTTACAGCCTGTTCGTACAGCCCGTTCGGTTGGTTGGTTCGTTTCGTTGCTGGTTCGTGAAAAAGTACTATTGACTAGTTTGTGTGAGAGAAAAATACTGTTTCGACTAGAAATTTACGATCGTTAACGACAAGCCACAGCCAAACGAACAGGCTGTTAGCGTTGTGGGCGGGGTACCCCTCCTACGGGGAACAACGGAAGTGCTCAGCACCTCCGACGTCGTCTCTGAAATCAGGACACTTTTGACCCTGCAATGGCCGTCGTCCTGCCCACCGGTCAACGTGGAGTTCTGGTGCCGTCCGAGTCAAGACGGTGGCGGATGTGCTAGTTTCACAGGTGGCGCATTGAGACTTCACACATGTATTGGGGAACGCCGCAGCTACGCCCAAATCACCATCGTCGTCCATGACTAAGATGATCATGGCCACTCTCACGGAGGTTTCCTCCACATCTCCGATCTGGAGCAACGAGGTTCAGACAGAGAGAAGCTAGCCAAGTGCCTGGATCGGGTGCACGTGCGTGTGCCCGTCCGCTTGAGCTATTTTTTAAGTCATAGAACAGCGTTTTTCTCTCACAATATTTCAGCATAAGTATCAGCACATAAGTCAAATTTTAGCATAAGCGAACAGGTCACAATGTCCTTGAAGCTGTGTCTGCGTGACACCATCATGCCTTTTATTGAAATAAACTACTGCTTTCTTGTGTGAACACACAGTAAGGGAAGGCGGGGTCGAAAAGGCTCCCTGTTGTGGTACTGTAGCCGCTGAAGAGGCAAGCGCCGAATGACTCACCTGCCGTACTTAGCCACATGCAGGGACATACGCAGAAGTCAGTCCTGCTGTGTTATCTAGTTACTGTTACAGTATGTGCGCTGAACTAGGACTAGATAGATAAAGTTGTATAAATAGACTATCACGGTAACTCAGTAAAGAGAGTCCAGATTTGCCATCTCCCATACATTGCTTCGGCCAACGCTGGTGTCTTGTACTGTGTGTATGCTCTGTTCTCCCTCTTCTTCAACCTCTAGCCATAGTATGTGGTGACGGACAACGCTTGTTAGTGGTCAGCTTAGCTAGTGGGTGCTCGACAACACTAGCGGATGCTCGGCAAGACTGGTGAGTGGTCAACTCACCTGAGCCGGTGATTCTGTGGGCTAACAACTGGTATCAGAGCCGTACAAGCGCCATCGCCAGACTAACCGCTGGCGATGACGGACAGTTCAAAGATGGGCGACAGCAGTGGCACTGTTGTGGCTACCTAGCCACGACCGGAGGTCGTTGTTCGCACGGTGCGGAAGGTCAGCGGCACTAGTTGATCGACGCTGACTCGCACCAACTATGGAGAGTGGTCGGTGACCATAAAGGTCAAGCTCAGAGCCCGACGGCTCTGGAATGCTGTTGATAAGGGCATCGACAATGAGGAAGATGACATGTCAGCGTTGGAGGCTATCCTCGCTACTGTACCGACGGAGTACAGGGAGCCGTTGGGGGCGAAGAGCTCGGCTAAGGAGGCGTGGGAGGCTATTGCGGCGATGCGCGTCGGTTTCGACCGCGTAAAGAAGGCGACGGCCCAGCTTCTAAAGCAGGAGTACGTCAACCTCAAGTTCAAGGATGGTGAAACAGTGGAGGACTTCTCCCTCCGCCTGTAGACGCTCATTAGCAAGCTAAAGAGCCATGGCGTCATCATCGACGAAGAGGAGGCGGTCTTCAAATACCTCCACTCCGTGCCGGCAAAGTACATTCAGATCGCTCTCTCCATAGAGATGATGCTGGACTTATCCACCCTCACCATGGAGGATGTGACAGGCCGTCTGCGGGCCGTGGACGAGCGCCTGGAGCAGGCGACAACAACGAAGGACAGTGGCTAACTACTGCTGACGAAAGAGGAGTGGGCTGCTCGGAGGAACTCTGGGAAGGCAGCCTCCTCCAGCCGCGGTGGCGATGGCAAGCGCCGCGGCAATGCTTCTTCAGAGAAGAAGAAGCAGGTCGACCCCAACGCCTGTCGACGCTGCGGGAAGATGGACCATTGGGCACGGGAGTGCCCAAATCGCAAGCAGGAGAAGAAGCTGAGGCTCATCTGGCGCAAGCTGATGATGAAGATGAGGCCACTATCCTGATGGCGACGTTCTGTGCACTGCATGACATCGAGGCCGAGGAAACGAAAGAGGCGACGACGGTGGAAGAACCTGGGAAAGCCCTGAAGACTGTCATCCTTGACGAACCACGCGCCCAAGTTCACCTAGGACGTGTGGGCGCCGACCAGGAGCAGCGGTGGTATCTGGACTCTGGTGCCAGCAACCACATGACGGGCTCCAAGGCATACTTCTCCGAGCTCGATGACGATGTTACCAGTACGGTGAAGTTTGGTGACGGCTCAAGGGTGGCTATCAAGGGCGCGGCACCATCGTCTTCAGATGCTAGAACGGGGAGCACCACGCGCTAACGGAAGTATATTACATCCCACAGCTGCGTTCCAGCATCATCAACATTGGTCAGCTGAATGAGCGCGGTAGCGAGATACTAATCAAGGACGGAGTCCTTAGGATCAGAGACCGGGAGCAGCGACTTCTTGCCAAGGTGAAGAGGTTCCTAAACTGGTTGTATCTGCTCGACCTAAAGGTAGAGCAGCCGGTGTGCCTGGCGGCAAGGCACACCAAGGAACCGTGGATGTGGCATGCCCGGTTTGGACATCTCAGCTTTGACACGCTTGGTTGGCCAGAGAAGATGGTCCGAGGGCTACCCCACATCAAGCACGGAGGTGAGCTGTGTGACAGCTGCCTGGCCGGGAAACAGAGGAGGCTACCATTCCTAGAGGCAGCCAAGTATCGCGCGAAGGACGCTCTCGAGCTCGTCCACGACGACCTCTGCGGGCCGATCACGTCAGCTACAAACAGTGGTCGGTGGTACTTCCTCCTGCTCGTGGATGATTGCAGTCGCTATATGTGGCTGCAACTCCTGACGAGCAAGGACGAAGCGGCACCACACCGCGCTGTACTCGCCACAACAGAATGGCGTGGTGGAGCGATGGAACCAGACGGTGGTTAGCATGGCCCGATCCATGATGAAGGCCAAAGGCATGCCGGTAAGGTTCTGGGGGGCGGTGACCACGGCGGTGTTCATCCTCAACCGCTGAAAGCTCTAGTTTGGTTTTGGTGAATTGATGAAACCCTAAGTGCTAACCTAGTTTATCAAGTGATCATGATATAGGTAGCACACTCCAAGTGGTGAAGCAAATGAAGATCATAACATGATGATGGTGATGCCATGGTGATGATCAAGTGCTCGAACTTAGAAAGAAGAAAGAGAAAAACAAAAGGCTCAAGGCAAATGTATAAATTGTAGGAGCCATTTTGTTTTGGTGATCAAGACACTTAGTGAGTGTGATCACATTTAGGATCGATAGTCGTACTATTAAGAGGGGTGAAACTCGTATCGGAATGCGGTTATCAAAGTGTCACTAGATTCCCTAACTCATTGCATATGCATTTAGGATCTAGTGGAGTGCTAACACCCTTGAAAATGTTTGTGAAAATATGCTAACACATGTGCACAAGGTGATACACTTGGTGGTTGGCACATTTGATCAAGGGTAGTGAAGTTTAGGTGCAACGGTAAGAAACTCCACTAGCGGAGTGTTCGCCCGTAGAGTGCGGACAGTCTGACAGTGCCACCGGCGCCCT